CTCTAGGGACTGTGCTCATCTCTGTTTCTAAGCCAAGAAGCCAACACTGTCCGAAGACATCTCCATGGTCATGTGGCTGGCATGACTAAACGCCGAAGGCACACAGAATTATGTTACCTTCCCACCGAAGTGGTCCCTATTTTTCTACTTTCATTTTTTATGTGCTTTTGAACTGCTAGGTTGGCAGAATCTGGGATAAGTAAGGGGAGTTCACTCCATTATGCGGCACTAGGGAGTTGAACCGCTGAACTGCCAACCTGATTGACAAGCTCAGTGTCTTAGCCACTGAGCCACCACATCCCACTTACGTTCTGGTACTTCATTGAAAGGGATGCAGTGGCTCAGTGGCTAAGATGCTGAGCTTGTCGATCAGAAAGATCAGCAATTTGCTGGTTCGAATCCATAATGCTGTGTAACAGAGTGAGTTCCCTTCACTTGTCCCAGCTTCTACCACCCTAGCAGCGCAAAAGCATGTAAAAATGCACGTAGAAAAATAGGGACCACCTTTGGTGGGAAGGTAACAGCGTTCTGTACACCTTCAGCGTTTAGTCATGCCAGCCACATGACCATGGAGACGTCTTTGAATAGCGCTGGCTCTTCGGCTTTGACATGAGCACCACCCCCTAGAGTCAGGAATGACTAGCACATAAGTGTGAGGGGAACCTTTACCTATACCTTACTTCATTGAAAATAAAGATTATGATAGAAGTGAGAGGAAAGCAACACAGAGTAGTTGTTTTCAGTTTTTTAGCCCAAATGTACTTTTTCCCAAGATCCTTCAGTAGTTGTGGAGATTAGTTTTGAAAAAGATACAGTGGTTCAAAGGAACTATAGATAGATGAGACTGAGATACTGTATGCTTTGAAACATTTTAGCCTTCTGCTCCAGAGCCCTGCTTAGCTCTTGTGAGCACTAGTTTCCTATGTAACGATTTTAATTACATTAATCCAAAAAAGTAGGAAGGTGTTTGACCAATTGTTGAGGTGGCACTATAAATAAAAAAACAACAACCAATCTGTGCCAGCACCAACAAATAACTCTAGTCGGTACATATTATAAATAAGATTTTTTACAGGTTTTTATAGGATGAAAATGGGACAGAATTCTCTAACTGGGGGCTTTCAAAATGTATTGGAACTGTAAATGTCATCAGCCCTAGTGACAATAACTATATGAAGAAACGACGACTATAGGAATTCATTGGAGAAAATTGTATGCCATAATTCAATTATGTATTATGAAGGGATTACAACCCTCAGTTGTTTGCTAAAATCCCACCTTGAAAAATAAACAATTGGTCTTTTCCAGGTGGGTTGAAAATCCTATGAATTGTGTTCCAATACTTAAAGTGCCCAAAGTTGGAGAATGCTGGTATACACCAAAACACTAATGTTACCCACCTAAATCCAAGCATAGACTGTTATAAATTGCAAAAAAGCACAAAGAGGATTTGACCACCTCAAGGCTCTAAGGATAATCCTAAACACATTTATGAATCCACTGCTGAATTAATGCATACTGAATATTAGTATGAGTTACCAGTTTGTTGACTGAAAAGAAAATACTTTCCCTAGAAATTCCATTTCCATAGCACTCATGAGTTGGGCAAGCTTTGCAAAGTCTAGAAAGTTATTGACGAAGATGATCAGTAGAAGACAGAATAATATTGTGCACACTCTGTTTGATGAGTACTATTTCTCCTTTCAAATCTATCTATGAATTCATCCGCATCTCTTTATTCTTACTGCTTTACTGAATCTTAGAATCAAAATAAGGTAGTATTTTTTTCGGGTTTTAATCATATCACCTTTGATCCTTTGTTATGCAATGTGGAACAACATAAGCACCAATCTGCACGGAGATAGCTGCAACATTATATTCCTTCTTCCTCCTTATTTCCCATCTTTTTCTATGTTGCTTTTTATTATTCCATTCCCATAGGATATTCATGCTTCATTCCAGGGAATCATCACTTTGGCTCACCTTCCTAGGCTGTGCATCCAGGGCAAGGAATTCAATCAAAGCACCACTATATCCTTTTCCCTGACATATGTGACTTAGGAAGCAAAAGTTAATTTTAACTGCAAGTCTGGCTTATCAACAGTGTTTATTTGAAACTTGTAGAATCTCTCTTACCTCCTTCTGCTCTTTTTGTTTGTTAGAAGGAAGGAAGCAACTGACTCGCCTTGCAAGGACTTGGTGTGTCTGATGTTGCACCTCAGCTGCTTTGCTGGGCAGCAGTCCACTGCCACTTGTAGGGATTGTTGGTCTCTTGGATCTTAAAGGCATCAGGGTCTGGTAGAAGAGATAGGCAGCCAGAACCAGCACCATCAGGAATGGGCGAAAACGACACCATCTCCGGCCAGGCACAATCTGCCGGCAAGCCATGGCACCTCAGATTTCTGATTTGTCCCATTTCCACATTATAGGACCGATCAGTCTGGCTGCTTTCCACCAGCATGAAAGAAAGGCAGAAAGGTATGTTTCCTGTACTCAAGTTCTCTCTCCATCACTGGGCTTGAGTTCTTCCATGACATCAGCAGGCAAGAAAAGAGAGGCCCCCAGCAGAGAACGGCAAGCAATGTCCGACCTGGAAGAAAGAATGGGATTGGTGGTGAGAGACTGAATGAAGTAACATATAAACAATGTTGATTGGAAATGAACACCCATTAAGTTTCCAAGTATTGCAAATAGAAGAAATGTGACAGTTCAGAGCACAACCCCATTGCACAACACCCAGGAAAGGACCGACCGAACAGTTATGTTCAAACAAAGATATATTGGCTAAAAATTGCAATGGGCTTTGCACATAAAAGCTGAAAAATACAAAGGCTTTTCTAGCAGGGCTCTTCTTCCCCTCCCTCCCCCTTCCAATTCCTTTCCCGATGGGTTCTTTAAAAAAAATCATTTCCTTCATCTTTTAAATTGCCTTTTTCCTGCCAGAAAACACACACAGCCTCCCCTCCCTGCACAGCTTTTAACAGAGCAAAAAGGCTAGTTTTTGCTCGATCGGGTTTCTTTTCCCTCTTTTTTTTCCTCCATTGTCTTTTGGAGTTCAAAGTCATGTTTACTTACTCAGTTCTTCACCCTGTCAGACGTTTTCCATTCTCCTCTAACGGGTTGCTGATTAAAACCACTCCAACAGCCCAGGCTCATGACTTCAGCTCATCTCCACACACGCACACAGCACTCCGTCTGAACTCCGTTGGACCACAGACATATAAATAAAAATCAGGACTGCCCGGAGGGGTGGGGTTAAGTTTACCAAGCTCTGAAAAGTCTCTCAGGCTGGGGACTGTACTGGATCATAGAAAGAGTTTACTTTTGCCTCCCACGTGTTGTTTTGCAGCATTGTAAGAACTTCAGAACTGCACATAAGTTACGGAAAAGTGATACAGAGGAATGTGAGGGCTATGGCAAATGGTAAATCAAGAAACCAAGTGGCTCTCGGCTTGCAAAACCACTTCGGGATGTTCAACGTTATTTGCCAAACATACAGAAGAAGAGGTATGAGAAAGATTAACTATATGTCTGACTGAGGCATCCTTGGGTTTATAGCACCGCTTACTGTAATTCCATGCAGCTAAATGTTAGCAGACCAATAGCTGGCTTTAAGAAGAGGGAGAAAAACACCCCCCCCCCCAAATTAAAACTTTGAGTTAGGATTGAGTCCTGACAACTTCCTCTGGCAGTCTCTGCAGTTTTCATGGCAACACTTTTTAGAAGTGGTTTGCCCTTGCCTTCTTCGTAGGGCTGAGAGAGAGGGACTGGCCCAAGGTCACCCAGCTGGCTTTGTGCCTCAGGTAAGACTAGAATTCACAATCTCCTAATTTCTAGCCTGATGTCTTCAACCACTACATCAAGCTAGCCCTCAGAGCTGACTGTAAACCATGGTATAAGCAAACAAGCCTCCATACACCCATTATAGAAACTCCAGGAGCATTGAATAGGGAATCTCACCTCCCTCCTTCTCCCACTTCTGTCATAGATCATTATTTTCCCTCTCTTTTTAATGTTACTGATGAAAAATGTTTCCTTTCCTGGAACCCAGAAAAAAGTTAGTCAAAAAGAAAAGTGGGTCATGGGGATCAGGCTGGACACAGGAAGGTTATGTGCTCTCATAGATGGTATCCCCAAGCTCTCCATTCTAGTGGCCTCCTTCTTTTTTGGACAATATTAATTCTTCTCCACATCTGCCAAACGGTTCCCCCTCCCCCCCATGCAGAATAGAGGATGACATTGTGTTCTGCTTTCTATCTCTATTTAACTGCTGTCATTTACATTAAAAAGATAGAATAACTAAAGGCCACTCCCTTTGGCTCTGTCCATACCCATTGCCTATAGTAGTTTTCCAGAATGGGTCAACTCGCCACAGCAAACTCTCCACAGAACTCACTGTGGCCAAGTCACTGTGGGACACCTCATCACAGGACATTTCAACAAATACAAAAGTTAAATTAATTTTGATGGAACCATGGCCAATAATAATAAAATACATTTAATCCAGTAATATACAAGTTACAATAATTTCAACAAAAACATGGTTACCAATAACAAAAGTAACTGAATGAAGTTATTAATGTAGTGTTGAATTGCCCCACAGCAAGTTGGCCTCAGTGAGTTGCCCTACACTCTTGTTTCCAATGGCTCTGGAAAGTTCTACATATTTAAGAGATACATAGATAACGTATATTATCATGTATTCTTTTGCCTTTTTTTGTGGGGGGGGGGGCTGTCTTTTGCCGTTATCTACCGTTAGATAACAGTTTTGATATTTGATGAAGTTATATAAACAAACAACAAGCTTTATTTTTGCTAGAAAATCTGAGTGGTGTGTGTGTGTGCTTGTATGACCAGAAAATTGGGAATGACTAGCAATAGCAATAGCAATAGCAGTTAGACTTATATACCGCTTCATAGGGCTTTCAGCCCTCTCTAAGCGGTTTACAGAGTCAGCATATTGCCCCCACAGTCTGGGTCCTCATTTCACCCACCTCGGAAGGATGGAAGGCTGAGTCAACCTTGAGCCGGTGAGATTTGAACCGCCGAACTGCAGCTAACAATCAGCTGAAGTGGCCTGCAGTACTGCACTCTAACCACTGCACCACCTCGGCTCGACTAAGCATATACTGGGTGCAAACTAAATTGGAAATTGCTGTGTAATTTTCCAACATTTTGGTTGGCCTACACTTCTTTTCCAAAGTTCTAATTCAGTGTTTCTCAACCTTGGTGACTTTAAGTCCTGTGGACTTCAACTCCCAGAATCCCCCAGCTAGCTGAGAAACAATGTTCTAATTCAATATGATGGAAAGAGAATAATTTCAAAACATCTTCAAAGATTTGGAGGTTTTTTTCTCTTCCCATAATTATAAGGTGATCAAGGGATAGATGTGAATGCATCATTCTGCATTGTGATCTTTCTCAAGCTACAATTAAATTCCAAGGAAGAGACTTCCTTCCTATGGTACGTTTTCAAATCAGGAATCCAAAAGGCAACATCAGATGTTGAATGGTATTGTGCAATTAGTGTAATTAAAAACAGCAACAAATAGCCCCTCTCTTTCCTTTAATAACTAGTAATGCTGACCACTAATACGCAACTATAATCTAAACCAGTGGTAGTCAACCTGGTCCCTACCGCCCACTAGTGGGCGTTCCAGGTTTCATGGTGGGCGATAGGGGTTTGCTGTAACTCTGCTTTATAAATTTTATAAAGTTACTTCCCTACTTTATAAATCACCGTTACTGTGGAACTGGTGGGCGGTTAGAAAATGTTACTACTAACAGAGATACAAAAGTGGGTGGTAGGTATAAAAAGGTTGACTACCCTTGATCTAAACTTAAAAGCGTTGCCAACTCTGAAACAGAAAAATATTCTGAGAATTAGATTTCCCCCCCCCCCCCCAAAAAGCCCATTTCAGAGAAAACATTCAGGACACCGAGAACATATTTGGTCATGAGTGTGATCAATGTCCATGGTGGTCACTAATAAATACTTTTGATTACCTAAAACTGATTGTGCATGAGATCATGTACTAGGTCAGATCTGGGAGAAGAGGCTTTTATGATTCTGACTTGGTACAGCTCACCCTGTCTGGACAGTCTCGGAAATCAGAATTGCTGCCACTCAGAATGTTTCCATCAACTGTGATAGGCATCCCTGAAACCAGGCTTCAGAGATCTTAACTCTTGTAGTAACATTTTCTTAACTCATCTCCTTTTTTTGACCTCACTGGAATATTTTAATAATACCTAATGGTGGCAGTGGGACAGCCAATAGGTCAGAAGTAGGAAGCCATGAAAGAAACGTTTAGTTCAAATAGCTAATGAAGTGAAGCAGCTCTTGACTTGCTTAGCCATATCAAGTAATGCTCCAATTGCAACAGATGTTTTGAGAAATCTGAATGTCAGTTTAGTAAGAGCTTTCTCAAAATCAGATTTCTTGGTTCCTCAGGACATGAACCTGTCAAATCTGTGGCCCACGGGCTGGATGGGTCACGTGCTGTCCCTGCCTCCACCCAGTTTAGGGAAGGGGGAAAAAGTTGATGTCACATGACGCCACCATGAATTTGACACTCCTGCTCTAGAGGCCTTGTTTTTGTAGCTTTTCATACATATAAACAAGCCTAGCTCATTTGGGACTATTCTACACCTACTTATGAGAATTAACGTTAAAAATTGCATTTTACATGCCATTCTGGAATTGACTGGTTGTTATAGTATTACTATTTTTGTGTATAAAACTAGTTCATATCTTCTGTTCATGCCTCATCACTGTTAACGACTTTATCTAGTTATCAAGTTGTTTCTCTGCAGAAACAGGCACACAATCATCCTCTATGCCAGAATATCAAACATCTATGTATGTGCGGGTGACTTGCATATAAGGAGGCAGAGAATCAGAATTCAAAATTCCTTCTGATCACAATATTGGAGTTCACAACAGCCAAGGTTGTCAAGAGGAATCTCTAGGGGTTGCAGCAGAAACTGTAGCCACATCTTGCTTAGTTGGGTGGTGGGAATCTATTATAGCAAATTATTCCTACGCTTTATTGCTAAACTAATAGTTTTGGGATTGTGCAAGTTTATTTAAAAGGGAAAGTTGAAATTGCTTAGTATGAAATAGTCTGTTTCTGACTAAAATGGGTTAAAATATGCTCTGACATTCAGATTGCTTCCAGCATCCCAGTTACGGTACTAGAAGATGCAATTATTATAATAAATGTCCTCACTATATGAAAAAAAATATTTCATTTAGGGAGGAATGGGCACATGTACTTATATATGTGGCTTACAAAAAAAAGAAACAATATAAAACTATGGACCTTAATCCACCAAACCCTTTTCTCCAATTATTGTATGCTGATCTATCTTTAGCAAGTTACTAGAAAAAGAACTTATATTTTACATTTAACTCCAGAAAAACTGCTAAATTATGTCTGCAGCAGAAAACAGTAATAAAAATGAAACTGATGAATATACCCCCCCCCCCCAAAAAAAACAGTGCCTTATGGAGTCTTAAAATACCCTGATTTAATTTAACATGAAAAACCCTCATGTACTAAGGTAAACACTCCTAATTCCTGAAAATAAAGCCTCGTTACTCACCTTTATCCATGACTGGTGTGAGCTTGAATCCAACATATAGCGTTCTGGGTTGCTTATCCCTAGAATAAGACCTTCAGTTTTCCAAGCTCCAATGTAATTGTAACTATGTTTGAATGTCACTTGTAAGGAAAATATAGTTCTATAAGCTTATGGAGTCATTTGCGAGCTGACTAAATCCAATTTTGGCTTCCACCTGCTGCACAACCAATAAAGTGGTTTCATATTACCTTTCGGAAGATACTCTAAAAACTGTTACAAGGCAACTAAGAAGTCTAAGCTAGAAGGCACTCTGCTTCATGCAGTGCCATCCTATGCAAGATGGATCGTAAAATTGTAAGGCAGACTAAGGGTGAGCCTGAGAGGTAAATGTTTTTTCCAAGTGTTGAGCAGTAACGTAAAAAAATCTCTTTCAAAAGTGTAAATCAGCTGATCTTCCTTAAGTTGAGATTCATTACTCTGAAAGCCTATCGACCATGATGATCAAGATTTCTGGCTAAGGTTCTATATCTCCCTGACTTTTCCAACTCAAGGTTGAACTTGAAAAAGACAATTGGAGGAGTGTTGTAACATACATACAG